ACATTTTTGTCATCCGTCTGTCTTTACTTATTCAGCTTTTTCTTCATGAGCCTGATGCCAGATAAAGGTCCCACATAAATTGAATAATGTGGGTATCATTGAACAGTCTTGTGGGAGACCATTGTTTAATCTTCTTACCTTATGTTATTCCTCATTATTATCTGAAAAGATCTATCACTCAGCATGTTATTAATTAATTGAAAAAGGGTTTTACAGGGAGCAATATGGCAGTTTGTATAATAATCCATTCCATCTATCCATTCCAGACTGTGTTGTATGCCCCATACTATGTCTATGAATATATAGCAGTGATTTTTATTAATTGTTGGAATCCAGCTTCAATACGGCCTGTTAAATGTAACATGTGAACTACAGAGTTTCAGTAACATTGTAAGATGGTTTGCTCTACGGACATATGTTCGTACCTAATCTCTACAGGAGTTTGTAGGAGGAACTAAAAGGGTGATTGGGGGCAGTAGCTTTCTACTGTCTTGTGATTTTCCAAGTTTTAGAAATGATATTACTTTAGGGTTTGTTTGTTTTTTAAATTCTGGTAGGAGGCAGCCACTGAAAACTACATCTGAAAAGAATTTGCCAATCCAATTCCATGTGTACCTCTAGATTTTTTTCAGGAATTCTGGATGAATGCCATTGAAATCCAGTGCTTTACCACATTTCTGACTATGGATAGCAGTGTTAATTTCTTCTATGAGAAAGAACAAGGCTACAGGGATTCCTCAACCAACGATAACAATTGAGCTCAAAATTCCTGTTGCTAAGCGATCAGTTTTAAGTGAATTTTACATTTATATTTTACAACCTTTCTTGCAACTTCACTTATTAAATGAATCCATGCAATTGTTAAGTTAGTAACATATAACATAACATAACACAGAGGTCAGATATCTGCCAGGTGCTACTGCTAGCAGAACAAAAGGTGTATTTTAAAGATAATCAAGAATGTTTAAGATAATCAAGACAGCCAGTAAGGCCTGTGATGATGTACAAGATGCTATTGCACATCTTGGCAGGAATCATCTGTCCCAAAAATATATACTGTCTGTGCAGGATGATTTCTAGAGCTTGGAGCAGGTACCTAGGAGGATAGGCTGTAGACTTACCTTTTCAGAGGTTTTACCTATATATAAAGAACAAAAAGAAAGGGCCAGCATATAACGGAATTCAATGGGTGGCGAAAGAAGTGGTATAAAGGGAAAAGCTTTGGTTATATTCTGTAGTTAGTCCAATGAAAAATTATAAAAAAGATGGTTTGCATCCATCAAAGAAAGGGACTGAGTTACTTGGCATTACTTTCATAGATTTTCTGGAGAAACATTTAAACTAAACAATTGGGACAAAGAGTTAATTGAAACAAAATATTTCTGTCCCCAGCAATCTAAAACTAATAGGGTTATCAGTGCATGTAACATAAATGCTTGTGCAGGTAAGAATATCAACCTTGCTGTCAAGTAAAATAAAGCTTTTAGTAGTAAGTGCCATACTATGTGCACTAATCAAATAGGTGATAAGGAAGTAAAGGAACTCAGGCATAACACAGGTTATGTAGAAAGTAAACATAGGGTCAGTTAAAGAGGATTCGAATGTATATACACGAATGCATAGAGTATGAGGAATAAACGATGAATTAGAAATTTAAGGAAATGAGGCCGTTTAGTGGGATGAAACTCACAAACGGAATATACAGCTAGAGGGAGTTAAATTATTTAAAAGAAACAGACCAAATAAAAAAGGGGGTTGAGTTGCACTATATATAAAAAAAAACTACATCTCTATAGTAACAGAGCACAACAATGATGAAAACTGCCTGGAATGCATTTGGGTCAATGTAAAAAAAAAAGGGGGGGGGGAATGACATTGCCATAGGTGTATGCTGTAGGCCACCCAAACAAATATAGGCAATAGATGAACTTTTAGGGGATCAGCCATATTAGACCTATTTCTCACTAACAGAAATGAAATAATAGAAGGTGTTGAAGCTACAGGAAGCTGGGGGTGGGGAAGTGATCATGCAACATTGGAATTCAACATTATGCAACCACAAGCAATAGAACAAAATCAAACTAGAGACTTGGACTTTAAGAGAGTTAATTTCAATAACCTTAGAGTTTGGGAAATTTTGAAAAGTGAGATTATAAAAAGTCCAGACTACCACAATACCAATGAAGAAGAAAAATAACAGCTCTGAAAAGAAACCAGCATGGTTGCATAAAGAACTATCTGATAAATTGAAAGACAAAAATGATAAGTATAAAAAAATGGAAAGAGGGGCAGAATATCAGCAAATAGCCAGATCCCGCAAAGATGAAGTGAAGAAAGCTGAGGATCAAAACAAAATAAGGCTTGTGGCAAAATTCAAAGGGGGGGGGGGCTTCTTTCAACATGTACAAAAAAGGGAAAAAGTCAAGGAAAAGATTGGTCCATTAGTGGGAGAAAGTGGCAAGAAGGTGACAAGCAACAGGCAGAAAGCAGAAGTACTTAACTCTTTTTTGTATCTCTCTTTATAAAAGGGGAAAAAATCAGTCCAACCTATGAAAAACAATACCATTAAAAACATGTTAGGAATACAAGTTAAAATAGGCAAGAAAATAGTGACACCTGTCCACCATAGACAAGTTCAAGTCACCAGGACCAGATGGATTACACCAGTGGTCCCCAACCCCCGGTCCGTGGACCGGTGCCGGGCCATGGAGTACCTGGCACCGGGCCGCACAGCGGCCGGGGGCCATGATCGCTGCAGCGGCTGGGGGCCATGATCGCTGCAGCGGCCGGGGGACATGATCGCTGCAGCGGCCGGAGAACATGATCGCTGCAGCGCAAAGGCTCCTGGGCCATGCGCAAAAGCTCCTGGGNACTCAAATACTCAAATACTCAAGTTTCAGATTAAAATTGTGAACAAAATTCAGTTAAACATCTGATAGCATCCAATGCTTGATTTACTATTCATGTTAGTTGCCACTATAAGCAACTAAGTGAGCTGTATAGAATTGACAATGTAGGGCATGCTTGGGCGAGTTTAAATTCCCATTAAACTATGAAGTTTAAGTGCTATGGATTATTTAAGTTGACCAACAAGAGAATTATGGCATCTAGAATTATTTGGTAAAAGGAAGTGCCATGAATAAAATAAAATATTGTTATCGCTTGTAATTATACTCACTGAAAAAAAATCTACATATGTGGTCACTAAGGATCAGCAACAACTATATTATTGTCACTTAATATGATTTCAAGATACATTTATTTATGTAACAAATGTATATGACTGCCCAAATCACACACTGGTGACCCCAGGTATTCACAACATTAAAAATCTAACAAAATACAACCCTCACCCCCATGGCAGCACAATACAATCAGATCAACCATCAGAATTACATTTGAGGCAAATCAACATCCAAAACTTTTTTTCTTTTTGTTCATTGTATAAATCAAAAATGTGAAATAAAATTAAAGATGAATTAACATTTCCTAGATTCTATGTTTAAATAAAGCTGATTCTAACAAAATGGTCTGGGTTACAAGAAAGCATTTAGAAGAGGGCTGTTTGAAGTTGAATGCAACAGAGTTAAATTTAAAAGAAGGCATATCCCCCAAAAGATCACAGCTTTCAAAATATTTTTTAAAAAATAGATTATATTATAAATTATTAGTTTATGAAGTAATTAGATATTACAAACAGCTAAAGAAGGAAGTTAAAGAATTTGGTGCACAGGTTGGGTTTTCATCTATACTTCCCACAAAAAGTCAACATTAGCAATTAGCAACAATAGTTAGACTTATATACCGCTTCAGAGGGCTGAAAGCCCTCTCTAAGCGGTTTACAGAGTCAGCATATCGCCCCCAACAATCCGG